TGAGATTCCTTTGTCCTACTCATATTTTATGCAGTAGAGAAGAAAGAGAGTAGGAAAAAGATAGAGAAGAGGAAGATAGAGATTATTTGATTTGTGCAAGTAAGCATCTTCAAAAAGGGAGATTCCTTGAGCCCATTTGTTGCTCTTCGACTGGGAGAAGCACAAGATCATTGAAGAAAGGGAGAGGCAGAGTGAGATTCCTTCATCCTACTCACATCTTATGAAGCAGAGAAGAAAGAGACGGAGGAATAGGAGGACTGATGCTTACTTGATTTGTGCAAGCCAGCTATGCACAGCCAGAGTCAACCAGATTTGAGTTTGAGCTCAGCCAGAGTATGATGCATATTATTGTCACTAGATAAGTTGGGCTAGCTATTGTCGACATATTAATATCACATGTGGAGTTTCTCTTAGTTACTAACCAGAGCCTGCACCAATTTTTGAGTCTGCTCGACATGCTATAGCAAAATGAATGTAACTTTGTACTGTAAGTACTTTCATATGATGCTCATAAACACTTCATTTGTATTATAAGAGCTTAATATACTATTAATGTGTTTATTTGATGAATATCAAGTGTTAGACATTGAAATGACTTCTGCCTTTTATTAATCTTTTTTTTTCTCCCCCAATTTAATGTTATTTAGTATAAGTGAGTGCTAAAGACAAAAAATATGCTCAATTAATCACTTGTTAAGCTTATGTATTTGCAATATAGAGACTTTAAATTATGTTCTCATATGTTTCCACATGTTTCTAAATTTTTTTTTGTTTCAATTGTGTTTTCGTCCCATTTTTTAGGTGACCAAAACGGTACACTGAAACTCATTTTGTATCCTTGGTGGGGTCCCCCGAATTCCTCAAATATAGAAATCCAACCTATTTGACCAGATTCAACAAATTGAATGTGTTGAAATATTGAAGTGATTACTCTAATACAAAGAAGTCCAAACCATTTTAATATTATCCCTTAGCCTTTAATTTTAGTATGCATTTTTTAATCTAGTTTTAAGTCGAATTTAACGATTATCACTGTTGTAATATATTTTTCAAATATTTCCATTTGAATAGCTTGCTTCATATAACATAAATTGCATTCCAGTGTTTTCTAAAAATTCATCAGATTTCCATGTCTATTATGATGAAATTGTTGTGGTTCATTCCTTATCAAAAAATCAAGCTTAATTTAAGCACATTTCTTTTGCAAAGATTTAGGTGCATTAAGAAATTAAAATCAATAGTAATTTTGTAATATGATCTTATTAGATGAAATGAAATTTTTCAAAATTTATAGCAACTTGGTGTCCAATCCCACAGTGATAACTTATGTAATTCATGTAAAAAAAAGACAACAAAGAAAATATTTGCACAACAATATCCATATTCTTCCTCTTATTTGTCTAATCTCTCAATTTTTTGTCTTATTTCTCTTATATGTTCAATCTTTTTCAGGAGCAACTATGATTTTGTAAACTTTTAGAGTAATATATTGAACTTATTACTTGTCCAACCAGATTTTCGTTGAACCTCCTCAACGTGTTCCCAAAAGTAGTGAAAGCTCATACAATATCCAATTAAGTACATTTCTCTAGGTGAATATCCTGACATCCAGCTTGATGGTTCCCTCTACCACCTACCAATAAGTTTAACATATAACCAACATCCCTATTGGTAAGTGGTGGAGATATTCATATAGCCACTATTTTTTGTTTCTTCACATAAACAAAAAAATATATATAAGAACGTTGTTTTCCTATTGAACTACGCAATTACAGTAAGAGTTTAAGAGCTTTTGTAAATAAAAATGAAAATTTCAAGCCATATTTCCAGATATTGCAACTAAAATTTGGTTAAGTAATTAAAAATTGTATTTTAATTAACACCTTTAATCTGAAAGGGGTGTCATTGGAAATTCAGAAAATAGAGAGATGTCCTTGAGGATATGGTAAACTAGAAGGGTATGGCTGAAATTTTCCCAAAATTCAATTTTTATTACATGATTGAGCAAGAAATACTAATGTACAATAAACAAATTCATTATTAAATCAACAGGATGGAGAGAGATAAGAAAGAGTAAACCTGGATTCTTTAAGGTGCCAAACCAATTCCGAAGTTGTGGTAGTTCAATCAAATCCTCGTCTGTGTTGTCGGCCTGTGATTTTATGGAAGTTAAAGGGGGGGCAAGAGAGAGACTGCGAGGCTGAGGAACAGAGAGAGAGAGAGAGAGAGAGAGAGAAAGGAGACGAAGAGAGATGAAGAGAGAGCGAGTGAGAGAGAGAGAACCCGAGAGACGAAGAGAAAGAAAGAGTGACAGAGAAAGAGCGAGAGACAGAGTGGTGGGTTTTGAAAGGGGGAATTTTTATAATAACTATTGGGCGTTGCAGGTTTCGCAGGAGTGCCGGCGGCAAGACAGAGACTGCGAGAGAGAAGACAAGAGAGATGAAGAAGAGCGAGTGACAGAAAGGGAGCGCGAGACAGAGTCGGTGGGTTTTGAAAGAGGGAATTTTTATAATAAATATTAATTAGGCGTTTCTTAACGGCTATTTGTTTAATTGCTCTCCTTTCCTAATTTGAAAAATATTTGCAAGACTTTAACCGCCATAAGTTTAACGCTCCCTCCCATTAATCTTTGTTGTTAATTTCCAGCGATTCTATCTTTTTTTTTCTTTTAGTATAAAATTACAGATGCTCCCATGAACTTAGTTTTTGTTTTAAAAAAAATTACACAATCCTCCCTCACCACAATTCAAAATTTCCAAGAGCCTATAAATATAAATATGATCAAGACTTTCCTTATTTTTTCACCACAATTCAATCACTCATTCTAAAATGAAACAGGATTCATTTTGAATTACTTCACGTAAGTCCTAAATTTTATATTTTTTTTTTGTCAATAGTTTGAATTTTTAAAGGAGATTGAAAAATAAAATTTGAATCCACAACCTAACAATCTAATGACTACTTGCAGCGATTATTAAAGTGACAATCAATCTCAATATTTACACTTCGCTCTAAGGTCAGAGGCCCAAACTGTTCCAAAGTATGATATGTTTTTTCACTATTCAACAATTTTTAATTACTCTTTTTAAGCAAACAAGTTATTAGAACAGATTTGTTGGGTATATAAGTTGTTATAACTCTCACCAAAAAAAAAAAGAAGAAAAAGCAACACCCTAGAGCAAAAACAGAGGATTGAAAATCTAGCATAGGTATCATACAAATTTTAATCCAAAATTTTATTTATATTATCAAAAACCTCAATACAAGATCAATCAAATACAAAGAAATAACTTATTTAAAATTTCCAATAAAATTATAGAAAAAAGTGAAAAATAACCCTCAAAACCCAAAAAAATGAAGGTGCAATTCCACCGGCAGTTTCTGCGGCATCAAAAATGATTTACAATAACCTCAAGGGGTAACAGAAAAGAGTTATAAATTCAAATGTCTTAAGTTTGTATCTTAAAAACCCTTTGACGCCAGACCATGAAAGATTTATTATTAATGAATATCTTAGTCCCGATGTGTATGACCTATCTTTGACCAAACTGAGAAAAAAATAAGTTGATATCTGCGTAATTTGACTTGAATACTCCTAACCGTTTAAGTATAGTGATAAACTTCTTAATGAATACCCTAGTTCCAAATCAGGGAGAATTAAAAGTAGAGCTTCCACCACTTGTGTATCTTGTAATAACACAGTTTATTCTCAATATCAAGTTAAGCGGCAATCGTTCCATATAATTGCAACAGATAGTTAATTAAAGGTCATAACAGCTCTATAATTTTAAATTTTTTTTCCCACTATTGTTCTGCTTATTTATCTTTGGAGGTGGTAGTATCTGAGTTTGATTCATATGGACAGGAAATAAGAATTGAATATGGTGTTTAACGGAGTCTAGCATTGATATACTTGGTATATAATTATAAATGCTATGTCTTTCCTGGAATCCTATGGCATGATACACTAAATATGTCAACTCATGCCTATGCCTTTTTCCTGGAAAAGCTATAAGCCTGACGCCGTTGCAGCAAACCATTGGAAAGTGGAGGAGAGGTTGAGAAGCACCTTGACATTAACTCTAAGGAGAAATGGTTCAATAAAAGAATTGTTACCTTGAGGTTCAGAGGAACAAAATACCAGTACTAGCTCTGGAGTTAAAGTAATCTTCAGGGTAAAATACCCTTCATTTGGGAGTACATGAATAAAAACCGTTAAAATTTAAACAGTGTTATACATGGGAGCCACTTAAAAATAAATTCAATACATCAAAGACCGATATAATTGTAACATTAAAATGAGAAGAAATACAAACTTTGAGAACCACAGCTGTAATAGAATACCAAACTGTCTAGAATTTTACTACGTTCGTTAAGGCTAGAGAGAGCTCATTTGCATATACGAATGTGCACTCTGTCCTTTGAATTAACTCTAGTTTTTATATCACAGTGAATGACCTTCCAAAACTCCTTTGCTGATGTGACAGGCATGTCATTTAAAATTATTTTGTCCTTTTAACATAAGAAGTAGAAAGATAAAAAAACACAATTATTTATTCTACCCATATAAAAGTAAATAAATTAATTAGTTCATATTCTAAAGTACAACATATTTGGCACCTTTGTCTTGTCAGTTTCAAAGAATTAGAAGTCATGCGTCTCACAATAAAACCATGATTCGAAATAAGAACTGTATCATACAACAATCAGCTTCCTGCGAAGAAATTTTTCTTAAAAGTAGACCAACTAAGATATATCCGACCACGCCAAATCCGCCAGTTGGACTACTGTAAATCTTCTTAATTTAGTTGATACTTTCTCATCTCTTGAATTCCACTGCTCTGCATCCCATGTGAACAATGGGAAGTACAAACAACTCATTCAGAATAGAAAAAATAAGACGCAACAATCACTGCACCTAAAAAATAGGGCCCAAAATTGGACAAAACCTACAAATACTCTTGAGAAATCTAAACATACAGAAACCTGAACCTGCGACACTACGCTTTTTTATTTTGGCCACCATTTTTTTTCCTCCTTTTAATTCTACGTTTGCCACCTATGCGACTCTTCTGTTGCTTCATCGTGTTATCTGGGCCATCCCAACTTTTTCCCCATTTCCGTTTTCCAAGGTTTCTCCTGCAGGAAACAAACAATTTTATCAATAATAAAGTAGTAGATAAAAAGGAGGTGAAAGAAAAGGACCCCCCAGGGGGGAGGAAAAGATGAACATGATGTCCGACCCAAAATCAGCTAACAGAAGGCTTTGACTCCTACATATTCTAGCTCGTTTCCTAGGCTCATCGATGTAATATTCACAGCCTCCATTTGTGCTTTCTTGCTGCTTTGCAATATAATATTCAGACACTAGCCGATGAGCCAATTTTGCCAGAGGGCGTCCCGAGATTGACTTTGGGATGGGCCTGGAAGAGGGTTCAGCAAGAGTAGAAAAGAACATTGAGAACAAATGCAGAAGATGGTCCTCAAAAGAACAAAACATAGATGATGTGAAGTCATATATAAAACTTTGAACTTGGGCCATAAAACCTGGATCAAATGCCCAATGAACTTGGCTTATAAGGCTACTTATTAAATATAAAACTAGAGTCCCTTTTGAGACAGGATTCCAGTACCCAAGATATATGCCGAGACATTGGAGTATTGAACTGACATCATGTCCTCAACAATCCAATACTAATCATAACAGTTTCACTCAATGCTATTTCTATTATGCAAGCCAGCTGATAAAACAGAGGCGGAGGCCTGATCTTTGGCTCATGTTTTCACTCTTAGACTGGTGGCTAGCAGCTCCAAGAAATCCTCTCTTTCTCGTCCACTAAGGGGAGATCCCACAGAAACATTTTTTGCCAACTACTATGATCCAATCCTCTCTTTTGGCAATGGGAAACAAGATAGTTCGTCAGAAATACTAACCTTTCAGGCAAAAAGCATCCAATATTGGCTGACTTCTCATGCCACAAAACAGGTGGAGGTAGGATGTCTTGCTGGCTGACAGACTGGGCAAAAAGTAAAACATACAGGTTGAGAGAGAAATACTTGAACTTGAAAGCGCTGAAATACATAGCCAGTAACATACCTTCCTAGGTATCTTCACCCCTATTGGTGGTCTTGTGATGTGGGGATGAAAAGAAGGATATTTATAAAGAACCGATCTGAACACAAAGGACCGACACACCATAGTTACTTAATAGTAAAAAATGGCTGACCACCCACTTTAACTTAGCATACGTTTCAAGCAAAAAATAATCATGCACCAGAAAACATACAGGACTTCATTCTTTGTTATCATCTCCATGTCAACCATTGGTGAATAGATCTCCGGGAGACACACAGGTTTGTCAGAAATATACATATATCCATTCATTCCATCACTGCATGAAACTAACAGTTAGTGCTAGAATAGTGCAAAACCAAGTGGTTTAATATCAATTCAATTGAAGGAAAAATCAAATCTATAAACTTAAGGCCCAAATGACATAGGAAAGAAAATACAACCTATTATCATGAAGAAAGCAGACATAGTACAAAAAATATGGTTGTGTCATGTTTGGTCGAGTTCTTGAAAGAATGATACTTTGCGAGAAGGTGGGTAAAACCAAATGGAAGATGACCAACTTTTTTTTTCTTCTTTGTTGGGGGGTGGGTTTGGGGAGTGGGGTGGGGTGGGGGAGGCAGCATATGGACACTTGGGTACAATTGAATGGCTTCTTGACCTGCATAACAGATGTCGGGCGGGTGCGCAAGGTTTATAGTGGTAGCAGAAAACTACCACTATATCAATAAGGTAAGCCAAAATTTTATTCACTTGGGTCATTCGACAACCAATGATACAATTACAATAATATAAGATTTCTGACAAATATCTTCCATGTAATGCAGTTCTAGTATATAAGATTTACCAACAAAAAAAAAATTCTTCCATGCAATGCAGTGTCATACATTTATACTTTGTTAAATTGACAGTAACAAACAACCAATGGTAATCGTATTAAGAACACAATTTCCATTGATATTTACTAGCTACTGAGCAAACAATGTAGATTAAACAATATGTCAGCATCACTAACAGCATACAGAAACAATCATATTTAACGAAAAAAAGGGTAAAACTACCAGTGCAACAAACAACCCAATAGCTAAAAGAAACTAAAAAAGAAGTTTATAAAACATTGAGTACTAAGTCAACATCCAGAACACCAAAATAAACAAGAGAGAGAGAGAGAGAGAGAGAGAGAGAGAGAGAGAAATAGGGGCCCTGACGCCATAGTACATGTTAATGGCTTCAAGAATATAGGTGCCCTGATGCCAAAGTGCATGTTAATGTTGATTGCCTTCCAGGACGTCAATTAACAAAAGGCTCCTAAAAATTGTAAATCATTGGAAGCATTTATACTACTATGAAAATTCCAGTGGGGTAAGCTGACCCCATCAAAGCAGGAGTGGCTCGACCCTTGTTCATCAACTTGTGCACCATTGAGGATGAGGTAGGACCTGCTAAATAAGGGAAGAGGGACATCTTGTGCATGTGATAAAAGATGACAGTCCCCCCCCCAGTGCAAAGTCAGCATTCATCAGTAATGTATTCTCTCGGCATTTCTCAAACAGCATTTTTCTGATCCAACAATCAAATTCAGTTCTGGTATTAAGGGCCAAGTTTAGTTAAAGCTAGGGCCCACCCATTTTTTCTGATTTCCTCACATTCAATTACTTCTGTTAAGATCTCCACAGAAAATTATGTAACAACCCAGCTATGCAACAAATCATTTGATTTCGGTGCATAGTTTCCATTAGCTCGAAAATGAAAACAAATGGACAAAAATTTTGAAGAAATATCATCTGAAACATCTCGAAATATTGGGCTGAACATCCCAAAACACATCGAAACATTCCAAAATATATTGAAACATGGAAATTTTGATATTGAATCAATTATTTGTTTCGGGTTCCATGTAAACGAAGATGTTTCAGTGGGTTTGATGGGGAAAAAAAACAAAACTTTGATTCTTGCACCTATGCCAAAAAATTAGTGAGTCCAAGTTCTGGGTTACACCAATAATAGGAACAGAAACCAACTACTTTCCTATCTGCGGCTAAAAACAGAATCTGGCAGAGGTTTTCTCTAAAATAAATGCAACTTCTATTTATTTACCAATTTTCCAACGTCCTTCCCTCCCACAAAAAATAAAATAAAATAAAATGAGGACTTATTCCTCTATAATCTACATATATCATATATGTAGCCCAACTCGTTTAGCATCCTGGAAAAAAGCTTAGATCATGACATGAAACAAAATTTTAAAAAAAAAACTAGTATCCCACTAGACAAGTTCTTTGCATTGTGGTACCACACCTGAATTGAGGGTTAATTTTCCGTTTGAGTTTAGTCTTCAGCAACTTTGGATGATCCCTATTTCGCTTGCAAAAAGAAAAGATCTTCATTGCTAAAGGATGTGAAGTGTGAAGAAATAGAATATCCAGGCCCAAACTGTTTCTTTGCTTTTCTTCATCCTAAAACACAACAATACCATTCAGAACTACGTAAAAAAATACATGAAAAGGAGAAATTTGTAGAGATTAAGTATGAGATACTATTTGTAGCATCAATCATTACCGTCAATGTATGCTCCACTTTTGCAATCTCCGAAAGAAGGCGGCACTCCTTGATAAATGGTAATTTACAAACAGCCTACAAACCAGAGGAAAATGAAATAAAACAAAGCTTTCTTGACAAATGGTTGCACAAAGAGATGGGTCGACCCAGGCGTCGCCAGGAAAGATATCAATTCACAATTTAACTCAATTAGAATTCCAATAGCTTCGCTTTTCAACCTGATTTGCTAAATCCATGTGATTTATTGGTTCAATTATAATGATAAGTTGACAACCAATTTTCTGTTCAATAACTCCTAAGATGTCCAACAAGGTAGTTTTGTATTCAATGATCATCACTTCCTTTATATCCAATTTCTTTATCCAAAAATCAAAAGATACACCAAAAGGACTATGTGTCACCTTGAAAACTATGAAGTGCAGTGTTTTTTCCTCCACTTTTACATTAAGCAAGGCAATACGGATTAAAGGTGCCTAAATGAGAATCGTAGGACTTACAAAGCTTATAGTCAAGACTCGAGAGCCTACAAAAAGAAAAAAAGAATGAACAGAGGAATATGGAGGACTCTAAGAGTCATTGTGAAAGCAAATAAATTTGAAAGATCTAAGCAAAATGGGCTTGGTTATGTCCATGTGCGAACACTGATTGCAGTAGTAAGGTAACAAATGTGTGTATAATTAATGGCCATAAAAATAACGCAACGGAGGCATTCTAGAGGCCACAATAATTCCTTTCATTGATGAAGGAAGTTGGCAATTGTCTTTCTCACATATATAAAAACACATTAGCAAAGCAAGCAAGCCCTAAGAACAGTGGCCAAATCAAAACAGATGGGGCAAGTGCAGGGATCAAAATTTCCTTTCGGTGGATCAAAATTTCCTTTTGGTGCATTGTTTCAATTACTTAGGAAACAAAAATGTTTATACGTGTTTCGTAAATGTTTCGACCCATTTTAAAAGTAGAATGAAAAAAATAAAAAATTTAATAATTATTTTTTCAAAACATTGGTCGAAATGTACCAAAATATCTTAAAATACCTTGAAACATTCCGAAATAATTGTACAAATGCATTGAAATATAACAAAATATTTTGAAACATTATAGAACACCTCGAAGTATTAGAATTTCGATTTAATCACTGATTCGTTTCGGTCTCATTGGAAACGGAAACGTTTCGGATGTTTTGACCGTTTCGAAACGATATTTTGATCCTTGGACAAGTGTTTGATGAATTTTACAGTTGGAAAGACAAATACTAAGCAATCAGGTGCCAAAAGATATGGCAAGGAAGAGACACAAGAATAGCACTACATGCACGGGTGCCTGAAAGCATAAGCTGGACACAATAGCTGAAGAATCTGAATGAAATTAAGGAGTACGATATTAGCCAGCATCTTATACCGAAGAAGAGGTGTTCCTACATAAACAACGATTTCCAAATAGCCAGCCAATACAGATTCAAAACACCTAGAAAGCTTATGATCAACTTTCCACATACCTGCCAAGCATGCGTCGTCCATTCATATCAAGCTCAAAATCTGTCAGCAACAGTTTCAATCACATATCATAAAAAGAAATAATACTAACTAAAGAAAAAAGTAAGTTACTCTTAAAAAACATCTCCACCAGTAGGATAGAAGTCCAAAATAGGTGACAATGGTTCTGTCATCAATTTCCTGTAAAACAAAGGAAGTGCCTGTGCACTACACGTGCACCAGTTACATATGGGGCTATGTGCTGAGAAATAAGTAACACAATAAATAACAAGCAGTGAACAAAAATATGTAGAAACCTTGCAGCAGGCAAGACACCCATTAACTGATCAAATGGCTTGAAGGGTTTTCCAAGTGTGAAGCAGATTTCCAACTGATTAAGGCCAGAGAAATCTGAAGCACATGGAGCGTAGTGATAAGGATAAAACCTGCAGGAGTAAAAAACATGAATCGAGTTTCACAACTGTATTAAAAATACAAACATAAGTTTCCACATATTCAAGAAACACATCATCAAATATATTACAGCATGACAGCCATCCAGTAACTTTTTTTCCCTTTTGGGACACAAGTATGAATAATTTCAGTCGAAGTGCTTTGTGAGAGAAACATAAATGACTGACTTGTGGGACATATGAGTGAATATTGTACACAAAACAGGAGAAGATTTCTTTCACTTACAAGCCCAAACAATTGTCCATTGTAAAAGTGACGGAGATTGTGTAAGAATTGAATAGATATTATAGATTAATTATGATAGTTATTTAGATACTTTTAGTATTTATCTTTTAAGTATTTTCTTTTAACTTTTGAGGATTTATTTGTCATTATTTATTTGTTTTAGAGTTTTAGTTTCCCTATATAAAAGAATGCATGTAAGGATTTTATTTAGATTAGATTTTGATTATTATTGAATACTGATATTACTCCCTTCTCAAATTCTTTCTCTTTTCTCATTTCTTTCTTCTTTTTCTCATCCCCTTCTTCTTCCCTTCTCATCCCTTATTCTTCTCTACTACGATCTACATCAATTTGGTATCAGAGCTCAACTTCAATTTGTACAAAAAAAATAAATAAATAATATTATTCATCGCGCACACTGTTCATCGAGGCACTGTCATCGCGCTGAAAAAAAAAAAAAAAGAACTATCCCAGCAGTTCCAGAAATTGCAGAATCACCCCTTAGAAGTTTTAAAAATACAATCTAGAAGTTCCAAATTGCAAAAAATCCCCAGAAGTTCCAAAAATTGCGTAATCATC